AAATACTAACAAATTTTTATCACCAAAAAATGGAAAAAATCGTCACTTCCACGGAGCGCCTCGACGCATCGATCAGTTCCCAACACAACACCTACGGTAGCACAACGTTAAAAAATCGCGCTTCACCCACAAAAGATCAAACCACATCGGCCGAAATACACATCACTACTAACAGAGGAGCTCTCGATACGTACGACAAAAATTACGATCCCAACGATAGTGACAATTCAGTTGGGCATGACTATAGCAGCAGCGTTGTAGTAAACACTAAAGAACTCGTCTACCAGAGCTTACCAGCTCCGATCACTACTTATACGTCAAGTCTCTTTGCCGCTGCCTGTAGTGCTTCCTCAACGTCACGCTTTCAAGCGCCACATTCCGGTTACGCGCGTTACGGCTACAGCAGAATGTCAACGTTTATTGATGAAACACCTGGACCTAAGAAGTCTGTATGGCCCTCAACAACCCTGCAGCGCTTCGAAGTTATCCTCTTTGTACTGAATCAAATGTGTATCGGTTTTGTGACCATATTCATGTCCTGGTTGTGTATTACAAATGGACTGCAAAACACGCCGCTTCATGCGTGGCTGGTAACACTAGGTGTAAGTGTATTATTTTTGAAACTGAAATTTCGCATTTTTTACAATTCATATAAAAAAAGAGAGTACAAGTTTTGAATAATTTTATAAACGGCAGATTTTATTAAGTAATTATATCATTTATAAGGTTTAAATTATTCACTGGCAAAATAGTATTTATTTAGAGCACTCAAATTCAAACAAGTAATTTTAAGCAAGAAATACAAACGACTTCAGTGCTCATTTACAGATTTAGGCGTACCGTTAATTTCTTCATGATTCAATGATCAGAACTAAACGAAATTAGTATGGGACCACCCTTGAGATACCACCTTTCCGATAAAAGAAGAATTATCGAAAATCGTTCACGCTATCCAAAGTTGTACATAAACAAAATATTCCGACAAATTGATAACCTCCTCATTTTTTTTAAGTCGGTTAAAAATTCCCTGCAAAATAGAATACCCATATCGGTACCTTATAAAAGAGAAAGTTCTGTGAAACTAAAATTAATATAAAATTTTTTGGTGCATAAGGACGAATCCTCGAATATCCTTGAAAATTGTAATATTTATATTGGAAAAAAATTTTATTTTAACACACGACCACATCCTCTAATTTCGTCCTTATAACTTCATTGCCGTTTCCAAAAAATCGGTTTTTTGATTAATCACAGTTTTTTATTCAGGTTTAAAACCGTCTAAAAAACTGTATTAAAAACCCTCATCTTTTCGGTTTACCGAAAAAACCCGAATTACAAAAAAACACTACAAAAAATCAAAAAACATCGATATCAAATTATTTTAAATTTTCACTTACACTTGTTACTTACTGCTGAGCAACGCGAATTAATTAGAAATAGTAATTTTTCTTAATTTTATACAACAACTTAATTTCCAAATATACGAAATATAATAAAGCGTTGCACATATTTATACAAAAACAAACTTCATTTCACAAAAAAAAAAAAACNAAAATATTCCGACAAATTGATAACCTCCTCATTTTTTTTAAGTCGGTTAAAAATTCCCTTCAAAATAGAATACCCATATCGGTACCTTATAAAAGAGAAAGTTCTGTGAAACTAAAAAAAGATAAAATTTTTTGGTGCATAAGGACGAATCCTCGAATATCCTTGAAAATTGTAATATTTATATTGGAAAAAAATTTTATTTTAAGGACTAATATACACACGACCACATCCTCTAATTTCGTCCTTATAACTTCATTACCGTTTCCAAAAAATCGGTTTTTGATTAATCACAGTTTTTTATTCAGGTTTAAAACCGTCTAAAAAACTGTATTAAAAACCCTCATCTTTTCGGTTTACCGAAAAAACCCGTTACCTGAAATGCAAAATGACGTAACAACCATCATCGTTGCAATGCCAAAAGTTATAACTAATACAAAATAAAAATTCACTTTTTGATTTATATGGTGGATTTCATCGAATTACAACTCCCCACATCATTTTATAAAAAAAAAAATCAAAACATTAGTCACGACTTTTTCCATTTCATTTACGATGCGGTTACGACTTGCATTTCAGGTGACGATATACTTCCATAGTAAAAATGAATCCATACATATCTGTTCTAGTGTGATACTGGTAATCGATACAGCTATGAAATTTTTACACAACGTAGTAGAAAAGGTTTGCATACTCAACTAAGAATTTGAGTTTTTTGAATTATGACANAAAAGCAAAACTCGAGAAAAACGGCTTTGAATTTACATATCGTTACCTGAAATGCAAAATGACGTAACAACCATCATCGTTGCAATGCAAAAAGTTATAACTAATAAAAAATAAAAATTAACTTTTTCATTTATATGGTGGAATTCATCGAATTACAACTCCCCGCATCATTTTATAAAAAAAAAATCAAAACAGTCACGACTTTTTCCATTTCATTTTACGACTTTTTGCATTTCAGGTGACGATATACTTCCATAGTAAAAATGAATGCATACATATTTTGTTCTAGTGTGATACTGGTAATCGATACAGCTATGAAATTTTTACACAACGTAATAGAAAAGGTTTGCATACTCAACTAAGAATTTGAATTTTTTGAATTATGACACTATTGAAGTAAATGAGCGATATGTATATAATTACATATGTATGTATAATATTAACTTCAAAATTGAGTGTACAGTGATTGTGTTTTTTACCTCCCTTTTATTAGCTCGGGATGTAACTATGTAATATTNATGCGGTTACGACTTGCATTTCAGGTGACGATATACTTCCATAGTAAAAATGAATCCATACATATCTGTTCTAGTGTGATACTGGTAATCGATACAGCTATGAAATTTTTACACAACGTAGTAGAAAAGGTTTGCATACTCAACTAAGAATTTGAGTTTTTTGAATTATGACACTATTGAAGTAAATGAGCGATATAGATGCAGCGATTTCTATTCTCAATTTACATACCTGATGACTGTACGAATGGATATTATAATAGCGAGGTTTTAGTTTTTTAAACTACAATTTTATTTTTAAACATTTCCAATGTTTTTCATGGTAAATATTTTTTGTTAATTTTTTATTAAATTTATTAAAATTTATGTTTTAACAAATTACATATAAATCCAAGTTTCAAACTTTGTACAAAATTTCAATATTCACAACCGACTTCACAATCGATTATGCTTAGCTACTAGATTAGCAAACAAAAGTTGATTAGGTAATTTGAAGTTTGTATTACGCCGTAAAATTTTACTCGTTATCTCGACGTATTGCAAAATAATTATCCGTTGCTGAGGAATGTAAAAACCGAATTTTCGGTTTTCGGTTTAAACGAAAAAAAACGATTAAAATCTAAATAAAAAAAAAANATTGAAGTAAATGAGCGATATGTATATAATTACATATGTATGTATAATATTAACTTCAAAATTGAGTGTACAGTGATTGTGTTTTTTACCTCCCTTTTATTAGCTCGGGATGTAACTATGTAATATTGATGCGCCTAAAAGATGCAGCGATTTCTATTCTCAATTTACATACCTGATGACTGTACGAATGGATATTATAATAGCGAGGTTTTAGTTTTTTAAACTACAATTTTATTTTTAAACATTTCCAATGTTTTTCATGGTAACTATTTTTTGTTAATTTTTTATTAAATTTATTAAAATTTATGTTTTAACAAATTACATATAAATCCAAGTTTCAAACTTTGTACAAAATTTCAATATTCACAACCGACTTCACAATCGATTATGCTTAGCTACTAGATTAGCAAACAAAAGTTGATTAGGTAATTTGAAGTTTGTATTACGCCGTAAAATTTTACTCGTTATCTCGACGTATTGCAAAATAATTATCCGTTGCTGAGGAATGTAAAAACCGAATTTTCGGTTTTCGGTTTAAACGAAAAAAAACGATTAAAATCTAAATAAAAAAAAAAGACTGAAAAAATCATTAACCAAATTTAAAAAAAAAAAACGGGCTTTGAAACACAGATCTTATTTGAACATCCCTAGTTTCAATACGTATTCGTCCTTCTGAACCAAAAAACTTTCATTTTCTTAAATTCTACAGAATGTACCCATATTGTTATTCTACATTGCACTGAATTTTTAAACTATTTTTTTTTGTTATAATTAAGCAAACCTTTGAAAATGCAAAGTCCTTTCAAAAATCCTGAGGTCAGTGTGAAAAACTCCAAAAACGCGGTTTAACTATGCCTGTCCCACAGTTTCATGAGTATATTGATTGTTTCGACTGTTTAAAATTTTTTGGTTTTTGTCGTACGGTGTTATTTTTAGGTGATTCACACAAACCACAAAATATTTTAACCGATATAAAATTGTGTACGTGACTACCTAGGATACCTTGTAAATCACCTAATAGATCGGTTGTACATGTATTTTAGTCTAACTGTTGAAAGAATTTCGTTTCGTTTTACATCCCTCATAACTTTAATTCTTTCTTAAATATTCGAAATATCCCTAAAAAAAAAAATAAAAGAAAAATGTTTGAACTGTATGTAGGTATTTAGGTACACTAATGGCCTTTTTTTACCAGTTTTGGCTATATTTGTTTTGTTTATTTAAAGTTTAGTATTTTTTATACTATATATATCGTCGCTCCCAACGAAGAGTAGCACATCTCAAATTACCGTAGACTATATAATTATATAATAAACTCCTAAATAAAAATTCTACAAATTCTCGACAAAACTTAAAACTTTTTATTCAGAATTTTGAGGTATGCAGTTTTATAACTAAATAAATTGAAGTGCAAAAAGTGCAAGATTCATGTTGCTAAAAATTACCGTTGATTTTATAGAATTAGTTTTTGTCGTATTTGCTTCCATACATACAATTTATTTTTAGGCATTAGTATTCACAGTATCTCATATTCAATATTTTAAAGAAAAAGTAGAAAGGGCTACCTAGTTAAATGTTAAAATGTTGCTTAGCCTCAAAGCAATAATTGAGTAGATCGCTTGCAAAGTGCGCTATGTAACATTTTTTCGATTTTTAGTTTTTGGCGGGTAACGTACCAGTATTTAAAGTAGTTTCATGTCCACTAACAATACAGTGCTACATCTTTCTATATTCTGAAAAAATAGCATCCAATGTTAACTACTCTTGCAAAAGTCGCTATAATACTTATGTATGTGTGTATTTATACACTTTCAAAAGTCTCAATCTACTGATGAACTTAGAAAACTGCAAGAAAACGTGCTTGTGGAAGACGTCAAAAAAAAGCAGACCAATCTTCATGGAAGAGAGAAGGTGAAAAGATAAAAAAGCTAGTTATGTAAAAGTTACTGTTTCAAAACTCGCTATATTAGATTTTTATATATAAACTTTGCAAACACTACCATACTACGATTTTGTTTTTTAATGTTATTAGGCTCTTATTTATCCAAATTTTCAGATAATAAAAAAAAGATACAATTTCGATGTAACTTGTTGTTGTAGACGTTTTTTTTTTTTATTTATGGCTTACTATTATAAAATCACATAACGCTGTTTGCAAGCTGTTATACATGCCTATGCGTAAAAAATACACCCAACTGTTACTTTCATTCAGCGAAATAGAGTGTGCAAGGAAACACATGCTCACTTACTTTCGCCCGATAACTAAATTTACTAAACAATATTATTTATATTCGTCCAGTACTCGCTGCTGATGGCCGAAGCCGTGATGGTCCATTACAACTCGAATCCTTTAACAACGAACTTCAAACGTCATGAAAAACATACCATACATTGGGTGCTGCAACTAGCAGGTGGCGGATTGGGAATGGGCGGTACGCTGTATAAATGCATACAGAAGGGTTTTTTACTTCAGAGCACACATGGAAAACTGGGTAGGTACTTTGATTAATTTTTCTATAGAAATGAATAATAATGCATAATTTTTTCTTTCACATTTTTGCACAGGTTTCGCCACATTCATCCTCTGCCTGGTATCTTGGTTAAGCGGTTTGACTGCACTTTATCAACTCAAACTTAAATCTTTTGTCCGTCCTTTATTCAATCGAACAATCCACAACTTGATTGGGCTAGCCTGCTTCGTACTCGCGCTTAGCACTCAATATTATGGCTATCAGACGGGTTTCTTTAGAGCTCGGGTAACTTCAGAGAGTTTCCGTGACTGCATGAAGACCATTACCCTACTTTCATTAGTACTGAGTAGTATTGGACCCCTAAAGGCGTTGCTGCAGAAGGCTCGTACTATTTTTAGAGACATCTAAATAATTATCATTATGAATAAATATAATATTTATATTATTTGTAACGAATTTTTTTCATAGCGTATCGTAATGGAGTATGCACTAAATGTGATATTGAAAATACATATAAAAATATATATTACTTTTGAATTTTACACAACTACATATTAAAAGAGATAGAGATATCGAAATGTCAGGTAAATGAATCTCCGAAAAACCCGGGAAAAAGTAATACATTTTAATTGACATAAAATTTGAAAAAAAAGGCTGCAAAATTTATAGTATCCTTCCGACCGATTTTTAGTTTGTCCAATAACTTATGAATATAAAGCATTAAAATTTTCGGTGTGTACGAAAGTCAGGGGCGAACGAAGTAAAATGCTACAAATATGCTATATGCATATCTTTGATTTGAATTTTAAGATTTTTGAAGCTTTCGAAAGGGTAAAAATATTTGGACTCAAATTGCTTAAACATTTTGCATGTTCAATATCATTTTAATTTAATTTTTAATTTACCTATTTGGGAGAAAAAGTGTATTTTCAATTTCCGTGAATCACCAAAACAAAAAGTGCTACGTTCCGAATACATTCCGTAAAAATAACGAACTTAACGAATTTTCACAAACTACAGTGACAGCCGAAAATTCACCTGTTGAGTATACCTAAGTAGTCTCGCTAACAGGACTTTGAGATAGCTGAAAAACTTAACCTGTAGCTATTCAGTTTATAGGGAAGCCATTAAATTTTCCGGATACTGCCGCGAACGAGCTGCGCGAGAGATAAGATCCGTATATTTCGAAGTAGGCATAAACCGCCCGAAACTTATCAATTACCACGCGTTTTATTGCATTAATGTTATCTTTTGGCACCATGGCTGCCCATAGGGGAAAGAAACGTACAGGCTTATCCGTTCAGCGATGCCGCTATGTTTGACGTGTCTGCCTGGTAGCCCGGATACGCCCAATACGGAAGGAAGTTCTCTCTTGTCAACGCTGGTGATTTTGCCCAATAATACACTAATTCACGCATTGGATATGCTGTGAGAGGTATGAAAAAGAATGTTTGTGCACTGTTTATTGTTGACAAAGCTTTATAAAGATTACTTACATAAATAATGCTCAATAATAAAGTGAAGTTTTTCGTATACATTTTCAGGATAAACTAGCGAATATTGTATGAGTAAGCCTGTGCCTGAGTATTGGAATCCTGAAAAGTCTTTTATCAAAACGTTGTTTATCCTGCAAAGCCGGCAACAAATAATCGGCTATCGACAAAATATTTTGGGCATCTCTGGTTTTGGACAACTATGCAGTTACGCTCGCAACGTTCTAAAATGGTCCTTGGAAGGATAGATTCCGAGACCCTGTTGCAAAGGTGGGTGAAATAATATTTATTTGATAATTAAGTATTTACTTCGCAAATTTCTCCGCGTTTCGTACATAATCATATTCGACGAATAATATGTCATTTAGTTATACGTTCGTAATATAGGGTTCCCCATATAGTGGTTTCTTTTTTAAAATTAAAAAAATGTACAAATCTAAATTTTTTCAGTATGTTAATGGTTTATTCGAGAGTGCAAGCATTCTCATAATAAAATAAAATAAAAAATTTTATTTACGGATTTTTTGCATTTCAGCGACGATGTAAGATAGGGCCTTTCTATATTAAGGTAACGACATGGGGCATTCCAGCCCAATTCGGACACCACTTAGCTTTTGCATCGCCGATATTTTTCATAGTTCTTAATGTTATAGTATCAATTGAGAGAAACCCTCATTCTTTTCAATTTCGGCATATCGATTTAACCATTTGGGAAAATTTTTTGTTTGAAATATTTTATTTTCTTCTTTTTTTCGGACAAAAAAACTGTATATTACTGCGAAAAAATCCCGTTTCGCAGTATCTGCATTTAAAAATAGAAACATTTTTTACAGTACCTGAAAATCCCGAAATAGTTCAAAAAAAAAAAACCAAAATAGTCCCGAAAATCCCGATATATTCCGAGAACCATCAAAAACTCCAAGTAGTCTCGAAAAACCCGGAATAGTCCTGAAAATCCCCGAAAAAGGCTCGAAATAGTCCAGCAATCTCGAAATAGTCCCGGAAATCCCGATATATTCCCGCGAACCCCGAAAATCTCGAAGTAGTTTTGAAAAACCCGGAGTAGTCTCGAGAATCCCGAGAAAATTTCCAAAATCTTTAAATAGCCCCAAAAAATACCGAATTAGTCCCAAAGTCCTGAAAATCCCAAAGGAGTTCCGAAAAAACTCGAGGGATTTCCGAAATATTCCCAAAAACCCCGAAGTGGTCCCGAAGGTTCCGATATATTCGCGAGAACCCCGAAAATCTCGAAGTTGTCCCAAAAATACCAAAATAGTCCCAGAAATCCCGATATAGTTCCGAAAATTCCGAAATAGCCCCAAAAATGCCGAATTAATCTCAAAATCCCGAAGAAGACCCGAAGGAGTTCCAAAAACTCCGAATTAGTCCCAAAAATCCCGAAGTAGTCCCGAAGATCCCGATATATTCGCCAGAACCCCGAAAATCTCGTAGTTGTCCTAAAAATACCAAAAAAAATCCGAAAATCCCGATATAGTCCCAAAAATTCCGAAGTAGTCCCGAAGTTCCCGCGGACTCCGAAAATGTCGAAGTAGTCTCGAAAAACCTAGAATAATCGCGAAATAGTTCAAAAATACCAAAATAGTCCCAAAAATCCTGATATATTCCCGAGAACCGTGAAAATCTCGAAGTAGTTTCGAAAAACCCAAAATAGTCCAAAAAATTTCGAATTGGTCCCAAAAATCCCAAAGTAGCCCCGAGAACCCTGAAAATCTCGAAGTAGTCTCGGAAAGCCCGAATAGTACCAAAAATCCGAATCGGACCCAAAAATCCCGATGTAGTCCCTCAATATGGGCCCGAGAACCCCGAGAATCCGAAGTTGTCTTGAAAAACCCGAAATAGTCCAGAAAATCCCGAAGAAATCTCGAAAATCACGAAATAGTCCATAAATCTTGAGAACCCCCGAAAATTCCCAAGTAGTCTCGAAAAACCCGAAAAAGAGTCCCAACAATACGGAATTATCCCCAAAATCCTAAAAATCCCGAAGAAGTCTCGAAAATTTCGAAATTGTCCCAAAAATCCTCCCAAAAATTCCGAATTAGTCCCAAAAATCTCGAAGTAGTTGCGTTGCACAAAAGAGTATTATTTAGTTGAAAAATCACAAATCAAATGATTCGTTGTACAAATCTAATCACAAATAAAGATGATTTCTGATTTGGAGGGCAATTCAAATCACAAATAAAATAAATTTTTTATTTGGTTGACCAAGCAAATCACAAATAAATTTTAGGATTTGATGCAACTTTCAATTCAGAAATAAATTTGATTTATGGATTTGTGATTTGACTTAATCAAAATTACGCAACCCTGGTATGTATATATATATCTACGCACATATGGCAGCTAAATTTACTCATATTTTAACAGTTCTTATGGTAAGTAAAACTATAAATTTAATATTTTTCTAATGACAAATAAAATAAAGCATAACTAAATGTTTGCGTACAAAATATTTGATGGTGGAGTTTAATTTTTATGGAAATAATTGGTAAGTATATGAGCTATCAAAAAAAGACCATAATACACATATTTGTCCTGATAAAAATCCACTTTTTAAATCCTTTCATTTGAAGCGCATATTGCCGCATTTTATCATGCCCGCGTTTTTGTTGCAAAATTTCTAAACTTTTTAATTTCTAAAAACATTTTTCTCAGTGTATCTACGACCGCCTTCCCGTTTTCAAAAATTGCCAATTATCACCAGGCGCCCATAATCGCAGAGCGGGTGACCGCCGCAAAAATTTTTAAATTTTCCACAAAAAATTTTTTCAGTGTACTCGACGACCGCCGGTTCGGTTGCTAAAACTCCCAATTTCCACCAGGCGCCCAATAACCGCGGAGCAGGTGGCTCCCGCAAAAAATTTTAATTTTTCCACAAAAATTTTTTTCAGTGTACTCGACGACCGCCGGTCCGGTTGCTAAAATTCCCAATTTCCACCAGGCGCCCATAACCGTGGAGCAGGTGGCTGCCGCAGAAATTTTCCCTGCCGGAAGCTAAAATTCATAGCATACTTTTAGGCGCCGAAAGTGGAATGTGGCTGTGAGCATTTCCACTTGAATTTGGCAGGAAGTATGCGCTTTTAGGTTAGAATTCACCTATTTTACTACAATTTGAGCAATTCCCAATTTTCTTGAATTAAATCATGGAAACATGCTCTTCACAGGATTTTAAGTAATAAAACTAAAGACATTTTTCATAATGAAATACATATTTTATTTATTGTTTCCTTTTACCTTTATCACGGAAATGAAATACAGACATATCTAAAATTCTATATAAACCTTTTGCTCCATTCGGCTCCTGGACGTTTTTATGAGAAACCAATTACTTTTACAAGAAAATAAATATATTTGAGCATAAGATAATACACAATTCATACAAATTTTAATTTTTTTTCTTATTCTGGTTATTTTTTATGTAAGCTGATTGCTGTTTAGCGGCGCTGGACTGATCCTTTTTAAGCGGCTTAAAGCCAAACTAATATTGTATTGAAAAACTACCTAGAAACAAATCAAAGAGTTTTCTAACTGCTTAAAAATACATGCATACATACATATATGACTATTTGCAGTTTAAGCTTAAATTTTGAAGTACAACAATAAATTACTGGTAAATGAGTTCAACACAATTATTTTTTCATGCAAACAAAAAGGTTTTTTTTTGTCCCTTCTGGCCTTCAATTTGCTTTCATACCTATTGTATGTACGACTGGAAGTACATACATACATACGTGTACACTTTAACAACTAATAACTTAATTTAATAATACTTTCCTTCTAAACTATTGCAGCTCCTAGTAAATGATGAAACCGTTGATGTCACTACTGTGGCCGCTGAAGAAACGTGCACTTCCATCCTCTCTTGGTTAAACCTATAAATTTAGGTATTTTTGTGTTAGATAAACGCAAATTATAGATTATCAATGTGATGATGTTACCTTTCTATAGTTTATCTTCCATAAAATGCCCACCTTGTTCCAATTTATCCTGAAAGCGTAGCTATTCATTGGGCTTATCCAGCAGTATAGCGATACGGGTCAAGGCAACGAGATGCTGAAATGAATTCAGATAATTTAAATTTTGCGAATATGAAAAAATAAATATCATAAATTTAAAAATGAATATAATTGCTTAAATTCATTAAGGGCAGAGCTCCAATAATTTATTGTGTTTTATTTTGTGAACATTTTTTCATAGTTCAATTCATTTTCTGGGCTTAAAACCTGGCTGAAGCTGTCCGCCGCGATGGGAGCGTTTACACTCAGCCTGAAGATGTGTCCATTATTGAAATGTTCTTCTGCTTAAATATCAGCTTAGAGTGAAGTTTTAGTTGTATTCAAAGTTCAACAATGTTTTCCATAATTTCAGCCACGTAAGTATGTATATGTACATATCGTCGACGTTTTTGCGAAACCGCCTATCGACCAATTGCTTATCTTACGCCAATCCAATTTTACGGGAGAGCGAAAAAACGGGTTTTCTTTGAAGGCATTGCATTGATAGGCGGTATTTTCTCTATCGTTTTACAAATCTGTTTTAATAACGATTTTACAATTTGTATGCATAAATCTCGATGCCTGGCGATTAAGGCTGTTTTACAATTGGTTTTGCAAAAACATCGGCGATATATGTTTCGTACTTACCTACATAGATAGACTAATCCATTACTGCGGAATCGGCCGAAATTTTGATCAAGCGGTTTTATATTGACAATTATACTTCCGCCTCATAGGCCCATTACATGCAGGACGCCTTTCTTTGAAGTAAGCCAAGGTTAATTCAGCCATTCGTTTCCTTGACTCGGGCGCTAATTCTGTAAAGCAAGAAAATTTGCATATTTTAATGGTAAACATATCGGTAAACTTTCTTTACATAAAGCCTATAGAAACTCCAAGAAGGAGATTTTTTGACACTTTACACATTTAGAAATTACTGAGCTACGAAATAGATCAACTTAACTTAATTACGGGATTCACAAAGTGTCAAAAGAAGTCATATGGCGTAGAGGTTATAAATTTTAAACGGGATATTATGACTCCTCGTAGATCCCTTAAATAATTACTGTAAGGATTAACTTTATTAACACTATTATATACAGTGCCGGACAAAAGTATTGGCACAAAGAATTGTTCGCAATATCTGCGAAATTTTTTATTTAAATTTATTTTCTATAATTTTTTATAAAAATATAGTTCGTCCTACACCGAAAAACATAAAAACTAAATCTTTAAACTTTGTGCAAGTCAGTAAAATTCAATAAATTTGCAACTTTCTATTTAGATTTTTAAAATAAATTCTAAGTATGCAGTTTTATAGCTCATCTATTAGAAAACAAAGTGCAAGCTTGAAGTTGCTAAAAATCGCGTTGATTTTTGGCATTTTTTTCACTCAGGTTCTTCCATACAGAGTATGTTCGAAAATTATTTTTGTATGGAGAAAATGAGGAACACCTTCGACTAAAAAAATTGCCAAAAATCAACGCAATTTTTTAGATACTTCAAACTTGCACTTTGTTATATGTACTAAAATTGAACAGGCTATAAAATTGCATACTTAGAGGGTTGCAAATTTATTGAACTTTCCTGAGTTTTGCACAAAGTTTAGGATTTTGTTTCTATGTCTTTTTGGTGAAAAACTTTGCATATATTGCGAAAAATTCTCTGTGCCAATACTTTTGTCCGGCACTGTATGTATATATTACTTGCATTTCTTCTAAGCTATTCTTCATGAACTCAATATTGCTGAATTTTCTCCAATTAGGCAAAATATGACATCTCATCAGAACACAGAAATCACTGTATTGCGTCTCGAATGTCATATTTTTTGCACACCAGTAGCGAAAGACTCAAACTGTACATAGATTCGCCTAGTGAAATGACAGAGCGCCTTCAAGCTAACCTGCAATTTTGAAAAAAATAAAGAAATTAAATTCAATGGAAAAATGTACTCGTCGTTTTTGATTTTACTTAAGTTAAGCTTTAAATATTTAAAACATTCTAATTGATAACGTACCTGGGATCGCCATAGTTCCATGACTTTTCGAATGAAGAGTTACAAGTCAACCAAATTGCCTACAATTAGTAGTTAATATTTTGTATAAACTAATTAATTGGTTCCCAACATTGATATTGGCAGCGCTCACTATATCAGGAACTCGCAAGTCATGGGTAGACTTTGATTTTGCACCGAAGTCTTTATCTAATGAAGAGAAATAGAAGACCCATATATACATACATACATATATGCATATAAATGCATGCATTAAGTTTTACTCACTTTTCACAGCTTCATCGCAGTGCTTCTGACTCAGCTGGCCATTCTCAACGAATCGAACCGTAGTTGCTCCTCCATGCCGGTAGGATTGAATATACAACAAACCCGAATTGTCAGCGATCTTCTTTTGCGTGCAGATTGCCTTCAAAATGGTCAAGATAACTAACATCCCGTCAGCGTGAGTTGCCCTCGGGATCCTGATTTTAGTGTAGAAATCCTTACGCTCACAACTCCATAGACTAAATGAATGCAGCCCAGAAGATAATTGTAATATAATAATAATAATATATAATGTATATATAAGATGTGGCCGCTGTGGTGTAGTGGTTAGCAGTGTGCGCTACCACTCCGCAGGGCCTGGGTTCAAGCCCTGGTCAAAGCAACGTCGCAAAAAATATGTATCAAAACAAGGGTTTTTCTTAACACCGGTCGCCCCTCGACATGAAAAACAGCTTCTCATAAAAAAATATAATCGTCGTTCTTGATGAATCAGTCTGAAAACTTTTTTGGTCCAGGCTCGTGAAAATACTCTGCAAAAGAAAATATATAAAATATATGCGGTGCATAGTATAAGAAAAAGCAGCATTAAATAATTTTCATAATTGCATTCTATTGTTTTTGTATTATGTTTAAAACGGGGGTAAATACGGCAACTAAAAACTTTCATTACAGTTCTATAAGCAGGATGCTTGCGCAAAATAAATTAATCTGTATTACAAAAAAAAAAAAAAAATAGGAAAATACTGTCTTTAAAAATGCCATAAAGTTGGAAAATAACACTGAGCTAGCAGGAAAAATGAAGGCAGTAGTGATAGTCATTTTTCCAGGTTAGGTCAATCAAGGAATATCAAATTCAAATTTTTAGGCGGGTCCGTTTTTCAACAAATTTTGGGATTTTCGTTTCGTTTTTTGTTGCCAGAACTCTGAATTGAATTTATTTTTGCGATACGACAAATATTTAGTACAGCTGTTGCAACACCGCCCGGTAACACACAACAACTGACGTAACAATATGGCAGCACAGAAAAGATGCAACTCTGCCAAACAAAGAAGTATACAAACGCGAACATTCTTTGATTTTCTTTTATTCTTAGATTATATTCTTAGAAGTTTTTAAGCGAACGTCATTTTTGAATTCGCAAACGAACGTTATTCGTACTCTCTTTAATTTTTCCAAGCGAATCTAGTTGGTCAACCAAAGTAAGTTTCTAAAACGATGTAAATAAATTATATGTATTAACTTGGATTTTAATTGCAATAAATAGTTTTTTAAAGCTGCTGTAACTGCTCAAATTAAAAGAGTGCAACACGATTGTTTTAACTGGGCGGACAGCTGCTGTGAACGTTGGTGAACCAACAACAGCTTTCATACAAAAAATATTCAAAAATTATCGAAAGCGGTAAAAAATGCGTTGGAAATAAATTTATGTATTTATTTGTTTTTGTTTTTGATAAACTCGTTAAAGAATTTTTCGATTTTGACCAAACCATCCAGACAATTTTTGTTTTCAGTAATAAGAAAACGTGTGCCCTCGCCTCATCGTATCGATTTCTTATTAACAGTTGCTCTAAAACGCCGAGTCGTTTCTTTATTACCTAAATGATCGCTTTATTATTGCTACAGGCGATTTTTGTAATAATTTTATTTTTTTTTAATACTTCATTTATTTTTTGTATACAAAAAAATGAGACTTGCAAACGAAATTAATTCGTTCTCCTCGCTATAGGGCTTCCTATATTTTCAATCCTATCTTTGGCATAAATTAGATGCTTTTGAACAATACTGTTGACGCGAAAGTTGGGAATTTTTCATAACTTATTTATTTCAAAATTGAGATGAGATAAATGTGTTCCCGATTTGTCACCACGACAATGAATCGGTGAGTCGCCAATTTGTTGCCATTGACAATTGTTGCACATTTCTCATGTTTTCCATGGATAAATACCAAATTTTTGTTTTATGTATTTCAATTGAAATGACTTTAAGTGAAATAAACGCCAACAAATTAGCAAACCCAACTGATAGAAATGACCAAAGAATATGTATAACCAAATATATTTATAATTTTTTTCCTTTTTCTTTATCGAAATTCAAATATTTTTTTTTTTAGTTATCTTCGTTTTCATTATCTTGTAAGTTCCAACAAATATCTTCTAATAGAGCATCAATCTTCTTTTCAATATACCAATTTTCCAGGCATGCTGTTATCTGGTGAAATCTCTCACCATGCTCGTCCAATTCGGCTTGGCTTGACAAACCAAATATTATATACAACTACTGTAATGTTACCCAGTTGGCAAAATGAGGAGCGTTTCTAAATAAACGTTTTCTAGAAGGGATTTTGCATTAAGACCTTCTCTTTGAAAGCTTTGTTAGAAGATCTTCCAATAGCGCTGCCATTCGAAGGCAGATGAGAAGGTGTATTTCCAAGGCAACCAAAGTCAAATCGCAGTAAACGCATTGGTGTGTGTCTACTGCAAAGTTAAAGTCAAACTGTTTCATCATTATTTCGTGTAAGTGTTTACCTTCTAAGGGAAGCTGAATAAGAAGGCGTGGAAACTCACCCCGTTCCATACAAAATGAACAGGAGCTTCAAAAGATCCGAAGTAAAGGCCTCACAGAAGGGCTGTTATTTTCTAATTTTGCCGAGTGGGTATACACCTTAAATATACATACATATTTACATACATTTATATGTACTTACAGCAGTTCATATCAATATGCCTATGATAAAATCGGAATATGGAGATCTTCAATTTCACCGAAGCTACCAGTTGCACGGCGGCCAAGTTCATTCATATGAAACACGATGTCTACTGTTTACCGCAGCGATGTAGTCTAATTAATCACCAGCAGAGGCAGGTGCACCCGATAAGTACTCGCAGAGCAAGTGTTCACAGAATCAATCACCGTTGCAATATGCCAATGGCTCCGGGTTGACACACTGATAAAGGCATTGAGAAGAATAGATAAAAACCAAAAAACAAGCATTTAATCACGAGGCGATGTAAATTTGCGAGTTGAGAGCAACCGACTTGCCATGGAATTTGCTGGCGAGAAACGTGAACAGGAGTTATTTGACATAGGTAGCTCGCAGCGAGAAAAGCTGCGGCTAAAATCGAAGTTTTGCGAAAAACAGTAGTAAGGAAAAATTTACGTTCGGTGGCACTTCTCCACAAAGTAGTTAATCAAAGTGAATGCAAATTTTAGTAAAATAAAGTATTAATTTGAGAAGCCTCGTAAAAGATCAAAATGACACGTCGCGGAAAATTCGTAGTAAATAAGGTAAGCAACGCGAAAATTATTTTTATTAGGGATTCTACAGAAGCACCACAAGCACAATGTCAGAGTACCAGTAGCATACCTGCACAAACAGGCTGCAGCAGACGAGTACCGCCACCACTTACACTCACGCAAAAGCTTGAATTCGTATTGACGCTAATTAATCGTCTATTAATCGGTTTCATAACGATTTATTTGTGTTGGATGAGTTTACGATTAGATCGCGAGCATATTCCATGGCACGCCGTACTTTGTACACTAGGGGTGAGTGAGAGGAATTTATATTTGCAGTAAATGAAAAGAAAATAACTTATAATTAGACCTAACTTTGCTGCTGTGTTTCAGTTCCTTTGTTTAATGTCTGAAGGTTTAATGGCTTACTATCGTGGGAATGTTTGGACCCAGATTTGTCAACGTCCAGAGAAAGCACGTTTACATTGGATGCTACAGCTTTGCGGCGCCATAATCGGTCTTACTGGAATTGTCATCAAAATGTGTTTGGAAGAAGTGCATTTTCATACGCTGCATGGTATTTTCGGTAAATATTCATTTTGATCAGCTGCAGCATGTCTTTGTCTTTGAAGCAATTTCACATGCCTCGAAAGAACAAATTTTAGAACCATCCTTCGCTGAAATTCAATACTTTTCGGAAAGAGCATTGCTTATACCAATATTGTTGATATGTATTAATATATGAGGACTCTTTGAATATTCTTAAATCTGAAAGCTTCGAATATAGTTGAAATTATTAATTANGCCAATATTGTTGATATGTATTAATGTATGAGGACTCTGAATATTCTTAAATCTGAAAGCTTCGAATATAGTTGAAATTATTAATTATTTAATCTAAAAGGTTAGTAAGGCGGTGCAGTTTTAATTGCCACACTAGATTTATCAACCAAATACCAATAAATTTATCCAACCTTTTACAACCTTTATGATTCTCAAGTTGATAATTAATTACTCCACTGAATCTCCGGAAATGTAATTTTCCAGTTCCTATTAATTTAAAACAATTTGAGATCTAGCTTTTTCTTAAGTTGAGAAAAAGTAATATTNAATAATTAATTACTCCACTGAATCTCCGGAAATGTAATTTTCCAGTTCCTATTACTATAAAACAATTTGAGATCTAGCTTTTTCTTAAGTTGAGAAAAAGTAATATTGGATTGTGGTTAAAGTATTTAATTGAATTTCTTGCTAATCAGTCTCATTGCGAGAGTCGTAACGAAAGCAAGTCGTTTTTTCAAGAGTCGAATCGTATCGAAAATTTCATGTGATTGTGTAAAAATTTCGCACCAACTGGTGTATTAAAGCGGGAAAACTTGGCAGCACTGCATAGTTTTCGACGATTTTCGTTGTTTACTTATTTCAGCACGACAGTAGACAATGCCAATGTTGTCGAGTCGTACAATTTAGCCTAATTTACGACTTACGCAATGAGGCTGAACGGTAGTTCTATGAATATTATATCGTCTGCTGATTGGAAGATCGACCTATCTCGGCAGCCAGTTCGAAAACGCCCCATCTCAAAAAACTTTTTCAACAACACCCTATTTCAAAATTTTATTGAAAAACATCTTAGCTCAAAATTTGGTTGAAGTACACCCTATCTCACTTCAAAATGTATTGAAAATGTGCTGAAACAGGGCGTTTTTGTATCGGCAGCTGAGATAGGGCTTTTTGAAACGAATTCTGAAATTTGGCGTTCTTGAAGTTTTTTGAGATAGGGCGTAGTTTCTAAAAATGCCGTTGATTTTTGATTTTTTTTTTTTTGCCGACAGTCACGCATTTTCTTCCAAAGTACGTTAAA